CAGAGATCCAGCTGATTAAATTCCATGGGGTATCACAAAAACCATGGATAGTGTTAATAAGTTGCAAAGAGTCAGATTCTACCCATAGCTGGTCAAAATGGCAAGATCTGGCTAAAGTGATGGCCCAAAATACAGCTTGACATTCTGCTTCAAGGGAGTCTAAAGCTTTAACAGGAGATTGAAAAAATAAGATACTTCTCCCCTCATGCTTCCTGAATACACCACCAATACCAGCAGACTGAGATTTGTGGCTACCATCAGTGTTTATTTTGGTCCATCCAAGCTTTGAGAGGGTCCAGCAAATTTCCAATATTTTGGTAGTAGGTGGCGTGAGAGAAGGGCCCATCTCCAACACAGACTCAAACTTTTTAAATTTAATCAGTTTTTGTATAAAAGCAATACAATTGAAAACCACCCTCATAGGATCTAGATGGGAGTTGTCATGCTTTACCTGGTTTCTAGCCATCCAAACAAACCAAGCCACAATGTTGGGGATGTCCTGAAGATTGAATCCCCTCCAATCAGACCAACAATTATAAAAACCTTACATGTTAGATTCATTGTTGGGGTCTTGAGTTTACCATTCGCAAAAGACCGAACTTCCTGTACCCAAGGGCAGACAAAGAAAAGATGGGTAATAGTTTCCTCTTAGGACTGGCAGAAATTGCATCTGGTGTCTTTAGCTCCAGGTTTTACAAACAGTTTCTGAATATTAGATAGTTGAGAAGGGCTGCAGAAAGGAATAATTGGAGTAAGATTCCACTTGCCATGAACCCAGATGTCCTTCACAAGCAATGGAGCAGCTGGGGCATTCTGATACTGAAGAAGGCAGCCTTCCAAAGACCAATTATCCCACCAGATGTTTACCAAGCCCTCACCAATCTCCCAAACATACAATTGTTCAGCATCCTTCCTAACCTTTAACATCCTTTTCCAAATGGGGGAATCCCCTAAACCCACAGAGAGTTGGGTGGGGTGTTGATGATTACAATATTTGCCCCAAAGGAATTCAACCCAAAGGGAGGACTGAGATCTAAATCTGAACCAATCTGCAGAAATTAGTGTGCATAATTTGGGAGAAAAACTTGAAGCCTAACCCACCCTCCTCAAAGGGTTTACACACCTCAGCCCAAGAAGTTCAGTGTTTTTGCTTCCTATGGCCAGCCCATAGGAATCTATTGAAGATCCCTTCTAACAATCTCTGAGAAGACTTTTTCAGAATGTTCATTTGCAGTATATAGGATAGAATAGCAGATAGAACACTTTTGAGGAGTGTGATCCTACCCCCATTGGATGAAAAGGAATTCTCCCATGCTTGCAATTTGCTTTGGACCTTATCAATTATGTGATCAAATTAAATGTTCTTAGCTCTTCCTTTGATAAGAAATGCCCCTAAATATTTTATAGGAAGGTGGCTGTTTTTGAACCCAGTGAAATCAGTAACCCAGAACTTTAAGTCATTTTTGCATTGCTTACTGAAAATGGAGATGCACTTCTGTTTATTTAATTTCATTCCAGAAACCTCCTGAAATGACTCCAGATTTTGCATGAATAATTTAACAGCAGCTTTGGAAGCTTTTGAAAAGATAATGATGTCATCAG